AACAGCTCGAGTTCTATGTCAGCCAAAAATGGTAGAATATTCCCCTCCAAACACTCCAGCTGCGTAGCTCAGTACCAAGACATTTATATATAGTGGTGTTAAAAGAAGAGGGCATACTCCATAGTGGTTGACAGGCTCTGTCCAGTATGTTTTAGATGCATTGCTGCCATAAATGTCAAAATTTCATCTGCCTAAAAAATAAATAATGTGATTTCTAAAGTTGAAACATGTTTTTTAAGGCCCATTGTGAATAAAATACGAGATTTGTAAATGATTGCATTCTGTTTTCGTTACATTTTATCAACATCCCCACTTTTTATTGTAGTGATGCTTTGATGCACAGGCTCTGGCACTTTCTGTTAGACATTTTAACAAGTGAACTAGCTCGATGATGAAACAGGTGAAGAATTTCAAGTTAAGTTCATTAATCCCTGTCACAATGTCCCTGCTGTATAACTGCAGGCAGAACGGGTGGATTTGTACGAGGTCGTTCAGCCCCTTTATGAACTATAAAGCTGCTGTCTCTCAACAGAGGCATTTCCTTGTATTCTGAGAAGTGCCCTGGACTCTGAGATGTGAGTGACTGAATAGAAAGTGAAGTTTCCTGAGAGAGGTTTATTCTGGCAGGGTGCACTATAACATACCCCATGGCTCAGCCACAATAAAATCCAAATATTTGAGGTCGTAACCTGCTAATTACCTCAGTCCCAGAAGCGATGACAACCGTCTGTCAGTGCAGCCCGTGAAAGGGGGCTACCTGAGTCAGGCTATAGAGGAGAAGTAGGTGGTTTGGGGCCAGGAGAGCTCCGGCACCTTAGATGAAAGGTCGGTGTTATGGGTCTGCATCCCCTCACCTGGAATATTTCAGCACCCTGAAGGGACTTCTAGCCTCTTAGCTTTCAGCTTGTGTGTCATTCAGGGTTCAGCCAGGAGATTCGCACATCATTTCCCATGTGTGATAGCCATCTGCTCCTTGTCTCAGGCTTATTCCTCTATGCATGATCAAGGCCCTCTGCACCAGTTACAGATCAGTGATTTGCTCATGATGATATCCCTGAAACAGAGACATATCAAATTGTTTGCACAGGACAGAATGTGTGCAGTCTTGGACAGTATCATAAAAACATGGCCACTATAGGAGGTATAAAGTAATGACTTTTATTACTAAGACAAAAAATAAAGATCTAACATGTTATGTGATTTAAAGTGAATTAAAAGTCGAGCATCGTTTGATGGAATGTTGCACATGTTCTTTTATTCCACAGTCGTAAACTACAATCGTCTTGTGTTGAGAAATGACAGAAATATTGCAGTTTTATTAAAAGAATATAAATAAAAAAACAACATTGTGCAATATCGCAAAATCTCACACGCTCTGCTAGTTCTGCTAGAGTATGTGTTGTAAACAACTCTCAGCTACCACTGCATCACATTTTAGATATAAACCTGTAAAACTGGCTGAACTTTAGTCATTTTTGTGCTTAATCAGTTGTAGATGTACATCTACTGATGACTTTCTGAAAATCCAGTCAGTATTTCATGAACAATTTTAACAGACTTTGTCACTTGTTAATGGCAAAGTTATAATTACAGATTATCAATATCTATTAGCGCTCAGGGTGTGAAGTGGGTATAAGTCTCAACTACTTCTGCATCAGTGTCAGTAAAACTGACTGAGTTGTAGATATTTTTGTGTTTTCTACAATCAGTTTCCTGTGGTGGCCATCTTGAATTGGGTTAGGTTGACATACTTTCTGAAAGTTTTACTAAAATGAGACAAATTCGCACACACAGACAGGCAAAAACATCATCACACGCTGTTTGAGGAGGAGTATTAATAATCTGTGAAGTCGAATGATATTCACGGAGTTCAAAAGTTTAATAAAGTTGACCAGAGATGGTGTGGACCACCTAAAAAGCCCTCACACCGCCCCTGGTTAAACTGGGAGGACACGATAAGCAGCGAGGGGTGTGTGGAACTGCGCATGCGCGTTCGCTGTGAGCGGAGAGAAGAGGAGAGTGGAAGTTTCCCCGCAAGTTCCTTGCGGCGAAGTTCCCGTGATAAAAACAAATGGGTCGAAACACAAAAAGGACAAACTTAATCTGAGACAAAGTTTGGCGCTTTTCTCCGAGTTTTTAATTGCTCTTTTCTTTGGAAAAACTGCGGCGGTCAACAACAGGTGAGTCACTTGAGTCAGAGACGAAAATGATCAAATTATCTGTTCTTAACTATAAATGGAGTTGTTTTTATCAGTTTCACAACTTAAGCTTTATCAGCAGACGAGACACTGCTTCATTTACATCAAATACCAACATGAAATAAGATGAAGCTGTTTTTTGTTTATTTAAATGTTGTGAATATTAGCGGACACCTACTGGTCATAATCTCTTTAACCTTGTTTTTGTTACGTGTTCAAGATTTATTGTTATTTCTTTTAATATTTTAAGATAATAATTTAATGTTGGAGGTCTTTAGCAGCGCGCTCATGCGGACCTCTGAGGAACTGCTGGGCGCATCTCTGCGGGTTCTCCAGAGCTTCAGGTCTCCTGAAGGAGACACAGAGCTTCAGAGGAACTGCTGGACCAGATGTAGCAGAATTAAGATTAGCACCGAGCACACGCACAAAGTGCGCAACTAACCAGACACATTTCTGCGTGAGTCCTACGTGAATGTTGCGGAAGAAGCTGAAACTAACGCTCAAATTAAAAGGAGCTGAAAGTAGTTCACCAAAACTAAAAGCTAAAGGCTAAAGCCAGCAGAACATCAGCTAAAGTTAGAGAAGCTAAAAGCTTAAATGAGCAACGTATTGGAAAAATTAGAAAGCTAAAATTAGGGGAGGGAATTGGCGCAGAGGCTAGAGAAGGTGGGCCTGTGATCGGAAGGTTGTCGGTTCAACTCCCTGGACAGACAACATTAAAAGAGAAAGGTGAAACACCCACACCTCCTTCAACCCTCATTTGTCCCACTGTAGGCCCCTCAACCCCCACCATCTGCTCCCCTGGGGCTGCCCTAGGTGGCACAGAGGGCTGTGGTAGCTTGGTGGTCCATGATGTGGTGACCCCTGAAGGAGGGAGCAGCCGAAAGAAAAAAAAAGAAAGATTAGCAAAACAACAGCTAGAAGCTAAAACTAGCAAATCAGTAACTAGATCTAAAATGAGCAACATTATAGATAAAAGCAAAAATTAGCTAAACCCAAAAAATACAAAACAATAAAGAAAAGCTAAAATGTGAAATAAAAGTTTAAATTAGCTCAATAGTAGCTAAAAGCCAAAATTTGCAGAATATTTGCTAAAAGCTAAAAAATCAAAACAGTAGCTAAAAGTTACACATTGCTAAACAAAAGCGAAAAGCAACAACTAAAAGCTAAAATGAGATACGTAAAAGTTTAAATTAGCTTAACAGTAGCTAAAAGCTAAAATTAGCTGGATATTAGCTGAAAGCTAAAAAGCAAAACAAAAGCTAAAAGTTACACATAGCTAAACAAAAGCTAAAAGCAACAACTAAAAGCTAAAATGAGATACATAAAAGTTCAAATTAGCTTAGTAGATAAAAGCTGAAATTAGCAGAATATTAGCTCAAAGCTAAAAATAAAAGCAAAACAGTAGCTAAAAGTTACACATAAGTAAAAGCTAACAATAACAACTTAAAGCTACAATTTCCTTAACAGTAGCCAATAAAGACAGTTACCAAAGCCATGAGCAAAAAGAAAAAACAACAACAACAAAAAAGTGAAACATTAACTAAAAGCTAAAATTGACAAAACATTAACTAAAAGATAAAATTTGGTAATCAGTAGCTAAAAGCTAAAATAAGCAGAACAAAAGCTTCAAGCAAGAACCAGCACCTTTTAGTAACTAAAAGGTAAATGTTAGCTAAATGCTAAAATTGGCAATATAGTTGCTAAAAGTTAATTTAGCAAAACAGTAGGTAAAAGCTAAAAATAAACTGGGAGAAAGAGCGCTGTGTTTTCAAGTATATGAAGTGCATTTCTGTTAAACCAAAAATGTAAATAAGGTCAAAATAATTCAAAAAGCATAAAAGTTACTGAGTCTAAGCCATGTAATGCTAAACAAGATGAACACTGCCATGTCTAAGTGGCTGAAATAGCTGAAAGTAAGCTGAAGTACCTGGTAGTTGGTCCAACAATTGTATGAAAGCGACACTATAACCAGGAAAACAATTGTGTGAACGCTGAGTCAGCATTTAAACGTGTATGTGCAATAAGTTCAGTCGCCTTTAGGATGCTATAAACTCTACATATAGAGGATGGAATATTTCAAGTTCTGTGAAGATACAGACCATTCATCTCTCAGATTTGTGGGTAACTTTGCATCTTTCCATACCTTTGGTGTTTCCATAATGTGTAATTGGAAAGTGCATGGTGGGAGGTGTGTGTGTGTGTGCATGTGTGTGTGCAATGAGGTGAAACTGAACAGGATGGGACAAGCTGTTCAAACAACCCACATGTGTGGAGAACTCATCTTGCCTACCTTGTACTTTTCTTAACAAATAAAGTAAAATCCTTGATCTTCCAGTGGATGTTGAAGCACTGCCCCGTTACAGACATTGAGCTAAAGATTAAAATGGTAGTAGCTGAGAGTAATTAACAACACATACTCTGAGCGTGGATGTTTTCGAAGATCTCACAAAATTGCACGAGAAAGCACACAACATTTACAAGACTCGGTGAAAACAGCCTTCTCATGATAAAATGTTCTTCTGATACTCTGACGCCTTCCTTCAATGAGTTCTAGACGTTGATGATGAATTGTGATATAATATAAACGTGATATGAAGTCAGGCTAACGGTGAAAGGTGCTGACTGGAACCTTGGAGCTAATTTTCTGATCAACCATGCCTCCGATGACAATGCATGTTTTGTGTCTTAGATTTAGCGACTGACTTTTGTCCAAGAGGAAGCACTTTGGATAAAGTCGTAGCAGCAGCGCCTCCTGCTCACCTCCTGTCACTTCATCCTTCTAACAACCCGGCAGCCTTTATGCACATCAGCCTGACTGTGGCTACCAAGGAGTCTCGTGCCTTTCATGGAACCACAGCTGCCGTTACTGCTGTAACCCCTGACGCTGTGCAAGTGCCAGCCATGGAGTCACGTCATGTCCTGGTTGCCCCTCCGCCGCCACCGCCTCCTCCACCTCCGCCACCACCCGTAACCTCTTCGCCTTTTAGCCGAGCGGAGAGTGCTCGCCAGAGTCGGCTGAGGAAGCTGAACTGGGAGCGCATCCCCAAAGAGAAGGTGGAGGGGAGGAAGAGCGTGTGGACCGGGGCTGCTCCCGGCGAGGACGAGTTCCCCATAGACCTCCATTCCCTGGATGAGCTGTTTGGTCAGAAGGACAGCAAGCCGAGGGTCAGGACGGGCAGCGTGAGGCGGCGGTCTGCGCTGCTGCGATGCAGATCTCCTCAAAACAGTCCTGAAGAGGTCAGACCACTGGGATGGTAAAAACAAAGTGTTCTCTCCATTTTCTTTCCCTTACATCTCTGTATTCTCTGCCTCGTTACAGATTTCCCTGTTGGATTCCAAACGGAGTATGAACATTGGAATATTTCTACGGCAGTTCAAAATGTACGTTTCTTATTTCCTTATCAGTTTTGACACGACTGGTCAATTAAAACACCCAAAGTTTAAAGCTAATCAAAGGTGAAGGTCGACCACTTCTTTGTAATTTGAACACTTTTGGGGCTTTGACCATTTTTTTTTTTAACAACACAGTCATTTTAAGGTATTAATCATCTTGGCTCTGTGAAAAAGATTCATTGGGATTTTTTTTCATGCTTTGACCCCATAAAGGTTAAGTAATCACCTCGGAATGGGATCAAGACCTGCTGCCGTGTTTACAACAATTTGGTGCCATTTAATGGCGTTGGGCTTTTTGTCCAAATCAATCAAGACTAAAAGCTCGTTTCGAGAGCAACCGACTTCACTCTGGAGAATTACGCCCAGGGGAACAGTACCAGTACTCCCATCAAACTGAACCGTGAAAAAGAGCCACATGGTAAAATGTGGGGCAGCATCACAAGCGTTAAGTCCAAAACAAGAAGTGTTTTGTAGGAGAGGTAGCACTCTGAGCAGCTTGGAGGGTGATGAGTGACGTTTCAGAGCTGACACCTGCTGACGCCCATAAAAAGTGTCAAACCTTAAAGTCACACCCCCCATGGTGAGAGAGACCCTGGTGGTTTATCATTTTCAGGAATCCCCTCAAAGCCTCCTTCATTTGTCTGTTTTAAACAAAGCTGCACTTATTGTAATGAAACAGCGCTGTCTCATAACCATTAAGGCTAATTTACATAGTCTTTAACCTTTGGCTCGTTAACATTATGCAAAGTCCGCTCCACGAAGAGTGGAGAAACATCAGTCCAGGGTTACAAAATCAATGTGCCATCATGAGATTCTCAACCTGTTTCTTCTTCCAGACTAGATTTGTTGAGACTTGCAGCGAAAGCCTTTATGTGAAAAGAGTCTCTTCTGTACACAAACATTTGTCTTGTCAGAGAGCTTATTTGCTCGCTGTCAAAAAGCGACACAGCGACTGCTTTTAAATGAGGCCGCAGTTTAAACAAAATCCAGTTTTTTGTTTTCACTGTCTGAGTGGAGACTTCAAAATCATTTCATTTGGGGCCTTTATGCAACGTGGCGTTCTGTGCTTTGTTCCCAAGCGGTGTTTCCGTTTGGATAGGAAGTGCTTCAGAAAATGATTTATTCTTAGGATGCTTCAGATGTGTTTAACCGCTGGTGTCAAATGATAAAATTCGGACGTAAACGGGGAGCTATGAATGAGGAGAGTTGGTTTGAGAATAAAGGAAACTCGCTGCAGTATCATGGGATACTAGATGAAGGGTAATGAAAGATAACTAACAATAAGAGAAATTGTGTTTCCTGCAAAAATGCAGCGTGAACGCTTTTTGCTGAAGAACTTGCTGAAAAACAGCTGAAATTAGCTAAAAACAGCTGAAATTAACTAAAAACAGCTGAAATTAGCTAAAAACGGCTGAAATTAGCCAAAACAGCTGAAATTAGCTTAAAAACATGCTGAAATGGAAAAACAAGCCTAATGTAGCAGAAGAAAGCAGAAAGAACACATATCTGCTGAATTAAGTTTAAATAAGCAGAACACAAAAAATAAGAAATCAGTTGTCAAATTTGCAGGAATAAAATGAGTTAGTAAAAGTATTGGAAGTTGACAGCTGGGCAGCACGGTGGTGCAGTTGGTAGATCTGCCGCCTCTCAGCGAGAAGGTTGCCGGTTCAAATCCCGGTCCTGGGGCCTTTCTGGGTGGAGTTTGCATGTTCTCTCCGTGCATGTGTGGGTTTCTTCCCACAGACCAGAAACATGCATGTTAGGCTGATTGGTAACTCTAAATTGTCCCTAGGTGTGAGTGAGAGAGTGAATGGTTGGTTGTCTCGTTTGTCTCTATGTGGCCATGAGATGGACTGGAGACACGTCCAGGGTGTCCCCCACCTCTCGCACAGTGATAGATGGACATGGGCACCCCTGACCCCTGCAACCCCAAAAAGAAAGGAGCGGATACAGATAATGGATGGATGGATGGATTAATGGATGGATGGATGGATTGATTAATGGATGGATGGATGGCTTAGACAGCTCAAAATCAGCATCACCTTATCACCCTACAAGTTGAACATTTCTGTGGTCAAAGCCCCAAAACGTCAAAAAACGTAAATGTTTTTATTTTCAAAATGCCTCTTCAGTCATAGAAAGTCCAACTATATGTATTTGTGGCCTGTTTAAACTTTGAATAATGTTGCTTCAGTGAAGTACGTCTGAGCTGTAGAGCCTGAAAGAGGTCTGGTTTTTATTTACTCATTTAGCTAAAATTCCTTTTGTATTGGAAATTTGGTGAGTTTTTTTTTTTTTTTTTTTGCACTGTAGATTTTACTTCAACCAGAAGTGATTGCACACTTTTCACTACAGATTCACACATTTTGATGCATTTTTCTTTTTTGCTCGAGCGGTTCTTTCCAAAGCTGTGGGGACTGTGGCGAATCATCGATCGCGACCAAAACTACTGAACAGTTTAAGAGTCTCTTCAGTGTTTGGGTTTGGACATCCTTAATAAAAACAAGGCTGAAGTAGTCAAAACATGTAAATAAACAAAATGATTCAGTCCTGTTTCTAATCTTTAAATTAGACATCAGGGATGTGTTGCATGTAGAAAATGTATTGTCTATGCAATGTCAGTAAATCAGACACAAACTGCACGTTGGTCATATATTTCCCCTGAACTGTGCTCTAAACACCCCCAGCTGATTTAGACCATATTAAAGCACTTCGAGAGTTATGGCTTCAGATAAAAGAGAAAGGAAGTGCAGGAAATGTGGGCTTATCACGACTGATATGGTCATCCTAATATTTCTATCACGTTTTATTAACGTTGTGCAGTCCCAGTTAAAATTGAAAGTCTTCCAGAGATTGTCTGTGCATCTTTGTATTTGTCCTGCGAGCGCTGTGATTCATCACGATAAAATAAATTGTTGTGTATTCACAGGCCTGCTAAGGAGATAGTTGAGGATATCAGGCACGGAACCGGAGATCGTTATGGAGCAGAGAAGCTTTCGGAGCTCTGCAAATTGCTGCCTGACAACGAGGAGGTACTTTTTTTGTTTCTGGTGTGCAACTACAACAGTGACAAGGTTCTTCCTGTCCTCCTCCTCGGCCTGCTTCTCTTACTCATCTGGTTTTGGTTAGGACAATCAAAAGGCTGCCATTACACCACGTCGTATCATGTGGTCTGTTTTCAGACAAGGATCATGTAGAAGTATATTGAAATTGAATTGAGTTGTTGCTTTTTAAATTTTTCCTTTCCCTCTCTCAGGCATCTCGCCTGAAGACGTTCAGTGGAGAGAGGAGCTGCCTTGGAGAGCCTGATCTTTTCATGCTGTTGTTGGTGGAAGTCCCCAGGTACAACCCTGCAAAAAGCTGGGATATTCCAAAAGATGAGCCTTTTTCCTCTCATGTTTTTAAACCCTTTTTCATCCTTCTTCACTTTGTCATGGCATGTTTGTTCAACAAAAGGCTGATCTCGAGTGTCTTCTGCCATCATTCAGGCATCCCTGCTGATCGGTACATCTCAACTCTTTTCTCTTTCATCAGTTTTCGGCTCCGGCTGAATGCCATGATCCTGCAACAAGGGTTTGACCCGGCTGTGACCTCTCTGTGTGTGGCAGCCAGATGTCTGAGGGAGGCGTCCAGAGGTAAAGTAACAGCGGGGAGCTGTGTACTCCACCGCCATTAAGACCCAAGTCTTTGTTGACCACCTAAAATTCTTCTGTTTAGTCTTGAGTGGTGCCGTCAGGCGCCAGAATGTAAATGAGATAAGCTGTTTAGCATTTAGGCTAACTTTGTGGCTCGTGAATAAGTTGCAATTGCCGATATGTCGTATTTACCGATTCACTTTACTCTCACAGAATTGCTGAGCTGTCCAGAATTACACTCCATCCTCCGTTTGGTGCTGAAAGCAGGGAACTACATGAACGCTGTGAGTGCTCCAGTCCAAAAACTCGTACTGGTTTTATTTGTGTCTGCTTCAGTCGCAAGTAGATTGGTCGTTTGCGTTCAGGGCCATCACCCTGGCCTTGTAGCTGAGTTTTGATGGACTGTTTGTTTAAACTTGTCTTCGTGTTGTTACCTTGTAACGGTTTCTCAGGGTGGATATGCAGGGAATGCAGCTGGCTATCGCATTTCATCACTGCTCAAACTGGCTGACACCAAAGCCAACAAGCCGGGGATGAATCTGCTACATTTTGTTGCTATGGTAAGTCCTGAAATGTTATACTTTTGTAGTGGGAAAAAAAGTGTTAGTTGTTAAAAGAAGCACATTTTAGAAATAAGGTAAATTTAGTGATACACTGGGAACAAACGGTAAAGATGTGTTCAAACGCTGGATGTTCAGTTCACTCAGTGAAGACTTGAACAACCTCCTTTAGCAGCAATAACTTGACGTAGTTGTTCCCTTGATGAATTTATCGGCCTCTCACATGGTTATAGAAGACTTTTGGTGCACTCTTTTTAACAAAGTTGCTTCAGTTCATTGAGGTTTGCGACCTTTTAAATCTTCACAACTCTCCTAAGGTTCTGCCACAGTTTCCCCATCAGGTAGCAGTCTGGATTTTGACTGGACCGTCGTAGCACTTCTCTTTTTCAGTCATTTTGTTATAAATTTGCTGCCGTACTTGAGATCCAGCTTCCATGATCCAGTTTGTGCCCAGCTTTAGATGGCTTCACCAGAAACTCTAGAACAGAGGTCTGCAACTTTACGATCAAGAGAGACATTTTTTCGCCTTCGTTCCCTAAATTCAAAGTGATCAGAGCCGCAACAACCTGCTGCAACTGTGATTTATTTAAAAAAAAAAAGGAACTATGCAGACCTATGTGATCATTTTAATTGTGGAAAAATTAATCTAGTAAAGAAAAAAATGTAAGGTTAAAGCGAGTATGAAACTAGTCTTTGTTGTTGTTTGTATAACAACCAATAAAATTAAGTTTTATGTTAGTTTTGGTCAAAGCTTGAAAACGCCGCTGCAGAGGGATCAAAGAGCCACATGTGGCTCCAGAGCCACAGGTTGCAGACCCCTGCTTTAGCTGCTAAACAGATGGCTTCACCATAGACTCTAAAATAATTTGGTTTAGATAGGTTTATAGTCAACTAGTCTGCAAAATACCCAGGTCTTGTGGCTGTAGAACAAACCCAAATGTTGATACACTGTTATATTTTTATGTTTTGTCAAATATGGTGCTGTGCAGTATGGTGAACATCTCTTCTTTGGTCTCACAGGTTCAAAAAATGTTACAGAAACTTGTGGTTCATTCAGATACAACTTTGCAAACTGACGAGTGTCATAGTGATGGTTAGGTTTGTACATTAGTTTCAAACTAACATTTTAGCATTTTAACAATTTTTGCACTCTCCCCCTCTTAGTTTGCTGGAAGTAGAGGGGTTTGAATAGCAGAGAGTTGGTTTGGTTCTTATTCACTAGCAAAGTTTTTATCATTTTGAGGAGCTAAAGACAAAAATCAAACTTTACAGTAGATCCAAGAGTCAAGCCAAACGAGTGGGAGTTTATCTGTCAAATCAAACATCTATATGTGACTGAGGTGGTGAGAAAACAATATGCATTTATTTAATTATTGAGGGTTGATTGTATTTTTGTGAGTCGGTATTTAAATTAAAAAAGGAACAGATTTTGTATTGGCTGAAGGGTAGCCACTGAGAATTTGAAGACTTTTTTCACATCTACTCTGTTGCTATATTACAATCACAGTGAAACCTTGCCCTAGGATTTATCACAGTTCATCATCTTTAAATCTTACTTTGTCTGAACTATAAATGAAAACAACTTTTAAATAAAAACCTACCCCCTGCTGGCTATTTAAAATAATGCAAGTTTATTAGAACATTAATTTTTTTCTCTTATTTTTCAATGCTAGTTTATTTTCTTCTTCTTTTTATAAAGTCAATGATTCATTACAGGTATCTTGTTGAAAATTTAAAAAAAAGCTATGTTTACATATTCAGAGGACATTTATACCCCTAAATTAATATATTCATAGTTTTTACATTACTGTAGTAAAACACACCAAACCTGGACAATGCACATGAGCCCCATCTAGCAGTGTGGATGAATAAATTATGTTTAGGGACAGAAAAAGCAGAAAAGTAGCTGACGGAGACAGAGCACTTTATTTAGACACATTATAAAACGATGTGTTGCTTCTTTTGAGACGGTGGCTGGATAATCAGTTGTGTTTGTCTCTGCAGGAAGCTGTGAAAAAGGACCAGAGTTTACTGTCTTTTCCAAGCCAACTAGGCCATGTTGGCTCTGCCTCCAGGTCAGTCTCTTCTTTCTTCTGTGGATCTTGCAACGCCGAGACTTGAGACAATCTCTGAGCTGCTGAAAAGTTTTATGTTGCGACTGTCTGACTCACTCAAAGAAAGTTGCTAAGTAATACCTGTCCATACACATTGGATTAAGCACATTCACCTGTTAGCTATTTACTGCCTATTTGTTGTCATGCAACCTTTCTCACAGAGGATTACACATCTGTTATTTGCCAGTGCAATCTGTAATTGTATATCTCTGCAGGTTGTGTGAGGAGGCCGTGCTGGATGACTTGGCGAAGTTAAAAAGTAGAGTGGCTGCCCTCAAGGCAAACATACAGACTGAGGCAGAGATTCTGCAGCAGGCGCGATTATTTCTGGAGGTAGACGGCACCGTTTGAAATGGAAGTTTTGGAGTAACAGAACTTCTTCAGCTTTAAGGTATGCCTTTTGAAAATGTTTGCAGATGGCTGAAGAGCGTCTGAAGGAGGCGGATGATGAGGTGGAGGGCATGAGGATGTCGAGTCAAGCTCTGATGGAGTTCCTCTGCGAAGATGACAGCACGTTTAAACTAGAGGAGGCTTGCAGTACCTTCCATTTGTTTTGCCTTCGGTTCCAAAGGGCTGTCCAGGTTCAAAACACTGCTGTAAATAAACGCACAACTTACTGTGCACTAACGAGCACGTTAAATGACCATGATTTCTTTCTCTTGGATTATTTTTTTTTTAATAGGAAAATGAAGAACGGGAGCTTAAGGAGCAGAAACGTCTGGAACGTCAGCGTGAAATGGTGGAGAAGCGTCGTTCTGTGGCCGTGTGCACGGGGCTGGACTTGGGCCTGAGTCTTGCCAGAGAGCCTCACAGCCAGGAGAACCAAGATGAACTGGAGAGACTTTTGGAGAAGAACTTAAGCTACACTTGGAGTCGTCGTAGTCTTCGAAGCTGTGCTTCTCACCGATTCGCACGCCACCTAGAAAATGACGCCCATTCCCGCAGCTCCACGCTCAAGAGCTTCCCCGTACTGGGCAGCAGCCCGACATCGGTCAGCTGTCACTCAAACAGCTCCTCTGATCACGAGGTCGGTGCTGTGCTCTGCAGCTCCCCAGAAATCGATGGCACGTGCTCTCCCATTGACCAAGAAGACTCTGTTCTGGACAGAGGGAGACGAGCAACAAACACGAGCATGGAAGCATTTAAAGACTCGCACGTTGAATCGCTTAGTTCCTCTCCTCACGGAAATTACTTTGCAGCAGAACAACATGGGCCTGAGAGCATTTCCTGTATGCTACAAGGCCAACAGACGGCAGTAGAGTTTGAAAACATGTCAGATTTTTCTCAAGAACACAGGCTGTCGAACAGTTCCAGTACAGACTCAGCTGCTGTGAGTACACATGCACCAACCCAGTGTGTTGGAAGCCAGGTCTCCACTTACAGACATAGGTTTGCTCTGCCAGTGACTGATAGTAATTATCTTCTTCAGGGTGAAACTAACGGCTCTTGTGTCCGTGACTCTAATACCACATGCACAACTCTGACCTCTGACAGCAACACCACGGGCGGGCCGTTGAATCACCCTGCACCTGAGACCAAATTAGAATCATCCGCTGATGAAGTACCATTCCAACCTCAGAAGAAAGAAGTTCCATCTATAAGGATAAGTGAGGCAGAGTCTTTGCCTGATGAATGTTCACCAGAACAGGCAGACACTACAGTGGCTTTGTCACCTGTGGAGGACTGGATACCCTCCGGTCTACCAGAGGTCAGCCAGTCACAGCCAGAGGAGGCTTCTGACTTGCCAACCGCTGAGAGGGAGACAGCGAGGTCATACGCACGTGTAGGGGAAACGCTAGAGTGCCACACTCTAGTGAAAGGGCTTCGATCCTACGAGGCCTTGTCACCCCCGACCTCCCCGCTCCCACGACCCACACCGAGCCTTTGCTCCAAGTGGAGGAAGGAGAGGGAGGTTGAACTCCACGAGGGGGCAACTCCAGGGTCCTCAATGCCAAGAGAGGAGACTCAAACAATGAAGATCCCTGTACGTAGTGGATTAGGGGCCAAGAGGGGGTTCGTGTCACGCACAGCCCCTTCAATCAGCACAGGCATTCCTCGAGTGCGCTCTAAAACCGAATCCTCGAATGGAACACCAACAGCTACTAACACAACTGCACGGCTGTCTAGTCCTCGCAGCCTTTCAGCGCGTTCGTCTTCCATAACCCGGCCAGTTATTCAGGCAGAGGTAAAGCGAAGCAGCAGTGCACGGGAGAGAACCGTAAGCGAGTCACAGATTCCTGAAAAATCCACCGTGACTCGCAGGTCGTCTGACAGAACTGCACCAGAGAGGGTTTCCGGCAGCTCCCAGTCAGCTTTTATCAGAGGAGCTCCTGTCCGTGTGTCCAAACGACTCGCTCCGAACTCCGAGACTCAGCTTCCGCCTCAGCCTCGGTCCGCCCACAGCCCCTCCGCCGCTACAGCCAAGACCATACGCACCGCCGTCATTTCAGCCGCTCGCAACAAAACTGCAAAGACAACGAGCGTGGGCACCTCCCCTGCTAGCTGTAAAAGCCCAGGAGCTTCACGCATACCTGGTCCCAAAATGCCTCGAGCCGCTGCAGCTCAGCCTCTGTGGAGGTGATGGAAGTTCATGGACTCACTTCTTCAGTTCTAATTAAATCTAAGTTCAACTTTATTGGGTTCTGTCCATAAAGTGAGTCTGCACTGAGGGGATTGTAGCTAATTTATATGTTGTGTTCAGCACAGTAGCAGGATAGTGGGTCCCCTACAAGCTACCTCTTCTCACATCCATTTGTTTTTGCAGGCAATAGGGCAGCAACAGATTTCCTCTAACAATTCATTTACAGAACAGCCTTAATTCTCCTTATTAGAATCAAGTGATTGTTACGCTGCCTTAAAAATATTGCCATTTGGAAAAACTGCTGTATTTTTTGTAGTCATACTTTATTTTAGAAAGCTGAAAACATGCTGTGAGCACTGTGGCCCCTTACCAGAAAGATCAGTGTTTTTAAACTGCACTCGGTACAATGTTGAGCTGTTTATTTTCTCATCAACAGGCTTCATTACAATGATGCACTTTACAAACTGATGGAGGCTGTGAGAAAATGTTTGCTGTCAATGTTATTTTATATATTAAAAATCTATAACTTCATTAATGGTATTTTCACTATATTGTATGGGTTTGTATAAAAAAAAGGCTGAATAAACAGCATTGTAACTAGTAGTACAGGTTTTTGGTTGCATTAGATGATGTTTAATTGTGTTTTTGTTTGTTTTGTTTGTTTGCATGCAGTACCTTTTAGTTCAGTTTCCTCTCCTGCCATCTTATCACCCTCATACTTCCCTCCTTCTCATCTGAATTCCCACTTGCTGCATCTCTTGACACAGCCACCCCTTTGCCAATCTTTCAAGCGTCTGTTGTCAAGGAAATGCTACGGCCGTCCTGGGGAATCTGCTGGCAGAATTGTGGGGGTTGCAATGGTTGGGGTGGAGGATGGCAGTGGGTGTAGGATCCCAGTGGGAAACCCCCCTTTTTATAGGCTGCAGTGACGCCAAAACTTCTGGGGAAAGCAATAAAACGGTGCCTCTTTGTGCTCTCCAGTCTCCACTTGTTGGTCAGAGGTGGCCTTTTAACCTGCTGCAGTTAATAAAAGTGACATCATCGTGTATCCAGGGCTGCAGGAGAGAGGTGTTTAAAGCAACGTTTATTTATTTTTTGTTGTTTTTTTGTTTTTTCTTTGGAGTTGTCTAAGTGCATTGAAATGAAAACAAATAGTGAGTGAGGTCATGGCATGGCTGAAGAAAAGTAAGTGGTATTGGAATTGAAAGACTGCTGACAGAATGAGGTCTACAACACTGGGAACAGATTTATTATTATTATTATTATTACAGTTTGCATCTGCACACATTGTAACTTAATTTATTTCATTGATAAAAATGTTCATGACAAAGAATAGCATTGGAAATAAACTTATTTTCACAAAACTGCAGTGACGTTTGACTGGATGTGAAGTAAAATTTTGCAGATTTAATTTAAAAGGGAGGAGAAATTTGTGGAAAATTTTAATATTCATAAAATAGCTTAATTTAAAAGGAAATTTATTGGTTGGATAATGCTTTCATTATTTCATATATCATTCTAAGCAGCCTAATCTTCAAGTGAAGTTCAAATTAAACGACGTTTCTTCATTTATAAAAAACGGTTATTATATTAAAGTCTAATTGATAGTTCTAGGCTCAAAAACAAATTTTACCTAAAATTATTTTGATGGGCAGGATTTTGGAGTTCAAAATAGAAACAATTACTTTGAAAAACTGCACAATTTGATTTACTTAGCTTTTGCAGTATTATGCTGTTTTCTACGAGAAAGTTAAGGAAAAACGGAAAAGTTCAACACTCCCATCTAGTGACAAATAAAGGAAACGGTTCACCTTAAAACCACATTTACCAGCATGCATTGAGCTAACGTCAACAGTTACGTAACGGGCGACTCCCCGGATGCGGCTGGGGTTGAGTACTAGGAAAGAAAAGCTCGGAAGCTAAGTGGCGGTAAGTTACAAAGTCCTTCTTCTTTTACTGATAAAACAAATTACTGCCTCAAACTTATATTTTTTAGTAAAACAGAATTATAAAGTAACCGTTTGGGAGGTGTATGTCTGGAAATGAATTCTTTATAACAAGTGTGTTTTAATTTATGTTCATCTTGTTTGCTAACTTGTTAGCCCGTTAACTGTTCAATGCGCTAGTTCCTTAGCCTGGGGAACGCCTAGTATAATGACTGAAAAACACTAAACATTCAGGTACATAGAAAAAAGTGCGTGTTGTTATGTATTCACCTGTTAGCCATTGATCAAAGTATTTATTTTTTAAAGTGTTTAGTACTTGAACAACTAAACTGTAGTGCATTTATTCATGTAACGGTAATTATTACGGTACGTCAAAGAGCTAACGGTGGCTACAGTTAGCACGGACGCTAACTGTTGAAAGCTGGACTTTTGTGAAAAATGTTAAACCTAATCTTCAGCAACTGGTTTAGCCTCAGTCTAATTGTTACTTTGTTCACTGTGGGAATACATTTTTAGTATGAAACCTGTTGTTTTTTTAATACCGTTAGATTTGACATTAAGTTGTGATCAGTATCATAGTAATCATGGTGTACCGGTAGTTGTAGCCTGTTGTTACTTTCGTTTTTGTCTACATTTAGTCAGCTGCATTACTATATTTTAGTGTAAAGTATTCAAGTTTTTAATTTTTGAAATTGGTATTTACATCTAGATGAAGCAGCTGTGTCTGTTTATAGACCACTGTTAAGACGAATGTGCATTACATGTAAATTAATAAAAAAAAAATTAAATAAAACAAACATTAATCATCTGGCTTGGCTTTTTAATAAAAGTGTAAATGACAAAATGACAGGGGATCTGCTGCCTCAAGTATTTATTGTTCATATGAAACTGCATGATGTTTTTGAAATAATTAAATACTGGCTTTTTAATAAAAGTGTAAATGACAAAATGACAGGGGATCTGCTGCCTCAAGTATTTATTGTTCATATGAAACTGCATGATGTTTTTGAAATAATTAAATACTTGTCTACACAACATAAATTAGGTTTAAGAGGATTTGTTTTTATTCATCCACAAAAATGTCAATTGTTTTTGTCATGATTTTAGTTCTTACACATTAGTATTTGTTTATTCTTCATCTTATTTTTGTCTAGAAAAATGAGTTGATTTAAAAACTGGCAATAATTATAATTTAATGAAGCAAACACTGGTTGTTTATTTGTCCTGTTTTCAGGTGCTGCAGCCCCAGTGGTCTTAAGCAGGATGCAGACCATTAAGTGTGTGGTGGTGGGTGATGGGGCAGTGGGTAAAACCTGCCTTCTCATCTCTTATACAACCAATGCCTTCCCAGAAGAATACATTCCCACAGTGTTCGACAATTACAGCGCTCAAATGAGTGTGGATGGCCGCACTGTCAGCCTTAACCTATGGGACACGGCAGGCCAGGAGGAGTACGACCGCCTGCGCACTCTCTCCTATCCTCAGACCAATGTGTTCATAATCTGCTTCTCCATCGGAAGTCCTTCCTCCCATGCCAACGTGAGGCACAAATGGCACCCTGAGGTGTCGCACCACTGCCCCAACGTGCCCATTCTCCTGGTGGGCACCAAGAAAGACCTGAGAGGCGACGCAGAAACGGTGAAGAAGCTAAAAGAGGCAGGTATGGCCCCTACAACCCACCAACAGGGCAACACCCTGGCCAAGCAGATTGGAGCTGTTAAGTACATGGAGTGTTCTGCGCTGCAGCAGGATGGTGTTAGAGAAGTGTTTGCTGAAGCTGTGAGGGCAGTGTTGTATCCAGTCACAAAAAAGAATCCCAAGAAGTGTGTGCTGTTGTAATGAATGGTTTCCAGATTTGGACTATGAAGGGGGATGAAGGAGATCCACAGATGCAATGAAAAGCTGAGGAACAAAAGATGCCATCTGGTTGCTCCCAGCACCTGTGATACTCCTGTTTTCCTTACTCATCTCCTGGAGGATCTAACTGTGTTGCCATCTTCACCAAAGTGACTGATTCTAAATGAAGGCAACAGACTGTCTCTACTTTCCTTCCATTAACTTTTGATATTTACACATTTTCAACTTTACATCTGTACTTGATTTATAGCTTCTATGCTTTGCCCTATAAAATGTTCATTATGGTCACCAAAAGCCATAACATCTAAACAAAACTATCAAAGCTTCCCTAGTTGACTTGAGAGAGGAGATCTGCGTGAGTTCAGGTGGAGAACTAATGCTACCTGAATTCTCACCTACATTGCATCTCATTGGGTCTCATGCAAGTTTTGCCATCTAGATCTATTGACTTGCCTATTAGATGTAAAAAAAACATTCAATCAGAAGTTAAACAAGCTTTTAACTTCAAATAGCTTGAGTCCAGATGGCGTGTTATGACTCCTGGATACATACCAGTATGCCTTAACCAAATGCAATGATTAGATTTTAAATTCTTACCAGTTTCTTTTGTGCAAAGTTTGGCATGTTAGAGCCGTCTTACAAAATGCACTTCCAGCCTCTTTCACTGCTCTGTCTCTTCCTCACATGGAAAAGCCAATGGGACTTTGAAGATAAGCTGGGCCCATTAGAAGCAGCAACCCATTTCCCCCGTTCTTTACTAGAGGAGCAAATGTCCTAAGGCCTCTGCTGAAATTACCCATACTGGTACAGGACTCCTTGAGTCATCGTATTCAGGAAGTTGGATTGCAGCGTAGTGGCTCTCCTCTGTCTACTTCTGAACTTTTTTGGGCTTACACCGAGTGCTATTAAAAAAAAAAAAAAAAAAAACATGCCTAAAAATATCCTGTTAAAGGAGACTGTATTTTCTCTAATTGTGAATTTACTTTGTAAATGATTTTTCTTAATCCTGAAACATTTTTAACTTTCATGTGCGGTTATGGCCAAAGTTAAATATATTTTTGTAATAGCTCATGTTTATTTGATCAGTAAAATGTATGTGTGCTGTTGTTAATTATTACGTATGATGAACTAGAAGTCCATAATGCTTCCCTTGTCAAATACATGACTGTGCAAAGGTCAGCAAAGACCACTTTATAATCAACTCATTGTAGCGTATACTACCAGACTGTTTTAACCGGTTTGCATAAAGCTATATACTTCTTATCCTGTAATGTTTTGATGAGGTGAATAACAGTTTTGCCTTGAGAAGCAGTGTCACACCAGCCTTGTTGACCTAAGACACGTCAATGTATCCTACAAAAGGAGCCTTTTACTTGATCAGGTGCCTTGTCTAAACCAAAGACCACACCAGAACTTTGTCCAACCCAAAGGGTCTCATCATAGTGCTATGAGAAATTTTTAAGCACAGGTCCCAACAAGTTCAGATTTATTTATTTGTTTTTACAAATTTTCAGAAGCGCTCTGCCGTAGTTCCTGTCAGTAAACTCTCTCTCAAAGCCTTTTTTTTTGTGAGACACAGGTGCTAAACTGACATCTCGCTGCAAAACTGAATTTGTGACACGGAGTCGACGACGGGCCCACGTCTCTTAACAGATTGTGGTTTACGTCGCTGCCTTGCATGGTGCAGTGAGAGCACAGCTCGCTCATGGTTAAAGAGCTGCGTTGGTGTCACTTTGCAACATTTGAAGATTTCTTTTTTTTTTATTATATTTTTCTATACTATTTTTGTAACAAGCCTAGCTCGATTTTGCTCACAGCTACCAGCAATAATATCAACCCTCTCCCAGTAGCTTTCATGTGCACTCCTGTGTGTGGTGTTCTGGAGTAAATCAAGACCAATGTGTGTTTAGATCTGAAAGATGTGTGAAGTTTCCCAATTATTTCTGCAGTGGGTTGAATGTATGTGCACAAGAAGTAAACGTATCGTCTGTGGTGATTATTATTATTTTTTGACATGTCCCTATTTCACTTAGTCCTGTTTATGAGGAACATACACCTGTGGGCTCTCTGTGTCCTGGAGCAGTATGCTACCGTATGCGTGGTACTACGCTTTTACACTGGGAACGTGATTTGTAGAAATCTGTAATTGTTTTATAAATAACAAAAAGCATATTTGTATAAATGAACTAACGGTGAGATGATTTTAAATTATACCAAATAAAATAGTGCCTAAAACCAAATGAGCTATTGGTTTCCTGGTTTCTATTTTTCTATACATTCTTTTGCAGTTTAACTACTACTTTGTGTATTTTAGCTACTCGTATATCAAGATCAGTGCTGACATTTGCAACTTGTATTTTTAAAAACTTTATTTACAAAAAATCCCCCAAATGTCTTCAAAGAGAGTTTTTAAATTTTTAATTATATTTGCTTTATTTTAGTTTTATCCACCTTTTACTATTTTGTCATTCAGCTGCTTTTAGCAAGCCTTTTGCTACTTTTACCTGCTTGTAGCTGTTGCATATACCGATGTGTGCAGAACAAGTAAGCTGTGTTTATGTAAAGCTACTCACTTTTTGAGCTCAGGAAACCACAGTGTTCCTCCTGCATTCTTTAATTCTCTTTTCATATTTGTGTTGTATCACTTCCCACATCTGAACACTAGATGGAGTCTTCAAAGCTTGTCATTTTTCCTTCTCTGTACATTTGGACTTAATGGTCTGTGACCCATTTAGGGGCCATCATTCAGCACTTTCAGACACCAACAACTTAAACCAATTTCAGGGCCTTACAAACCTAGTGTGCTGCTGCTGACTGAGTAATTTCTGTGACCTTTATGGGTGGCGGTTCTGACAAGTGACAGAGGTGTTGGACTCGTTACAGCACCACTGGAGCAACATTCAGGGCCCATTTCCTCTGTGGTCTGTTTGTGAAAGCTGCACAAAGACGACAAAGCTGAATGTATGTTTGCAGCTTGTACAAGTCGCGTCAATCCTCCATGGAAAAATAGTTTACGTGAACTCGGACAAGTCTGACTTGTGAGGTCCTCGGCTATGGTTTGACTGAGCGTTCTCGTAGCTAAAAAGAATGAGCTTGTTTCTGACAGGCAGCTTATAAACACTTGGCTCAGTTAATGTGTTTATTTTTAGATGAGAGGACTGCAGAAGGTGCTTGCTTGTAGACCTCTATATTTTCAGGTACTATTAAACTTTCCTTCAAATAAGTAACTTAATAATTCAAAAAGAGATTTAATCCTTTAAACCGGAACTAAAATATATATATCAATTGAACTTTTAAGAACAAATTTTCTAAAATTGCAGAATTATGTGCTAATTAGTACTTTTACCATACTTTGAAGGTTTTTACATAACTAAAATATTTAGAATATAAAGACAAGGGAAATTTTCTTAGAGAAGGGAATTATTTTTTTGAGTAAATCACATACAAATAATCCAGAATACCAGTTTTTAAAGAAAAACTCAAAATCAGTGTTTTGGGGAATACTTTGCGAAATAATAAAAACTAGTACAATAAGACAAAAACAGACTTTTGGTTTAAAAAAATGCAGATTTTAGTCATTTTACTCACATTAAAACAATGTCTTGCTTCCATACCTATATACTGCACACATGTCCAGTTCATCACAAAGGGAACAAAGCTATCCTTACTCCGTGGTTCATTTCTGAGACTCATGAGCACGTTGAAGCAGATTTAAACAGTGAACATGTGTCACATTTGCCACTTCAACTGGTCTGTAGCCACACAACATACTACAATGTGTGTAACTGGAACTTAGAAGATGTTTAAAACCACTTAGAGAGGTCAAGGTCGAGAGCTTCAGATGTTTTTGCAAGATATTCCAGGAAACGGGGCAGCACGGTGGTGCAACTGGTAGAGCTGCTGCCTCTCAGTGAGCAGGTCCCTGGTTCAAACCCCGGTCCAGGGGCCTTTCTGGGTGGAGTTTGCATGTTCTCTCCGTGCATGCGTGGGTTTTCTCCAGGTACTCCGGTTTCCTCCCACAGACCAAAAACATGCATGTTAGGCTGATTGGTAACTCTAAATTGTTCATAGGTGTGAGTGAGAGAGTGAATGTTTGTTTGTCTCGTTTGTCTCTATGTGGACCTGTGATGGACTTGCGACCCGTCCAGGGTGTACCCCGCCCCTCGCACAGTGATTGCTGGACATGGGCACCGGCGACCCCCGTGACCCAAAATGGAACAAGCGGGTAAAGAAAATGGATGGATGGATGGATTCCAGGAAACAGGAGAGGAGTAGGAGAAGGCCCTTTTGCCAAGTTCAGTCCGCACTGAGGGGACACTGCAGGTAATAATGTCCTGAAAGCGCACGCTGTTGCTGCACTCACGCAGAGACATGTAGGAGGAGATGTATGAAGGCAACAGACCAAGAAGTGATTTAAAGATGAAATTGTACCAGTGGGAGAGTCTGTGTGAATTTAATGATGTCCAGTGAATACAGGGTGCAGTGGTGGGTATGGTAGTTACAGCCAGTTATGAATCTTAGTGCACCATGATAGACAGCATCAAGCATCTGCAGGGTGCTTGCAGGAGCATTCATGTAAATAATGTCACCTAAAATCGAAGAAAGAACTGCTGGGACTGGCTTCCTGTTTGAAAAAAAGCATCCCTTTGGTTTTGTCAGCGTTTAGGACAAGTTTGAGATGGAGTAGTCTGACTGGATGATGTCAAAGCCAGATTTCAAAAGCTGGAAAACCTTAGCAACTGTTCTAGCTCGACAATAAACAACTGTGTTATCAGCATAGAAATGTAAGGATAAATCAGGGACGCTCTGACCTACATTACCTATGTAGATTTTAAAGAGGGTGGGTCCTAAGACTGAGCCTTGTGGTACACCATTGTTAACTTTTAAATAACTGGAGGAAGTACCATTATGTTGAACACACTGCCTCCGATCTGAGAGATAGTTAGAGAACCAACCAATGGTATGATCTGAGAAACCAATTTCTGAGAGCTTATGACACAAGATGTTATGATCCACAGTATCAAAAGCTTTAGCCAGGTCTAAGAAAAGTGCAGCACAATAATCCTTAGTGTCTGGTGCTTCAACGATGTCATTAAAAACCTTCAGTGAAGCAGTCGTTGTGCTGTGTTGTTTCCTGAAACCAGACTGATGGAGAGGTAAGATGTTAAATGAGTTCAAATACTTTTTGATTTGAGAATTCATCAGTTTTTTTTTTTTTTAGAACCTCGGCTAAAATGCAGAGTTTAGAGATTGGTCAATAGTTATTCAGTGAGGTGGGGTCACCTCCCTTCAGCAAAGGTAGAACAAATGCATCCAAGCGTCCGGAATGGAGTTTTGACTTATGGACAAGTTAAAGATGTGCGTCACTGGTTCTGCGATGATATGAGCGGTCAGCCTTAAGAAATAAGGTGGAAGGTGATCAGGGCCTGCAGAATTTTTAGAGTCTAGACCAGGTCTATTCAACAAACGTGCTCAGCGGGCCACAGTTTCTGAA